CGAATTTCAGAAATGTGGCAAATCCCATGTGTTTTTGGACCCTGACCCCGCGGATCTGCGTGAGTGGTGCCGATTTCGAGCCCCCCCAGCAATTCAGACAACGCGCTCAGGGGGTGCTAAAAAATCCTGTTTGGGCCTCCCCCCCTCGCGCGGTCAATCAACTAGTTACAGTAACCAGCAATAAGCAGAACTGTAACACTGGAAACTACAAGCTACAACTGGTACAGGAAACTGCGAATCACGTGGCTACAGCCTGGTGGCCCCACAAGGGGGCCGGCGGATAGATGTGGCGCTGAGGACCTCTGTTCAAGGATTAGTTGTTAAGGACTCTTGATCAAACATCCTTTCTAAACATTCTCCCTGCTAAGGACTCCTTATTCCGTGTCCCTTCCTTCCTTTTGATGGACTCCTTCTACAAGATTCCCCACTAAGGAACCCACTGCGTAGTCCTTCATACGGATTCCTCATTAAAGGACTCTCTAGTCAGGACCCTTTCGTAATAACTCTCGAGAGCGGATTTCCGACGAAGTGCTCCCGGCTTAGGATTGTCGTGCAGAGATGTCCCATGAAGGATGTCCTGCTCAGGGCTCCCTCTTTGTATTCCTTTGGAAGGGCTCCCATACGACTGGTTCGACACGAAGGGTTTCTCATTGGGATTTTCTTCGTGAGGGTTTGTGATTCAGCATTCCCTATCACGGATTCATTGTTTCAGTTTCTTTTTTTTCAGACTCTTTTTTTGCAGGCTCTATATAAAGAAGTTCTTGTCAGGATTCCCCGCTCAGGATTGATTCCTTTCCCTGTTAAATTTTCATTAATTCGGATTCATTCACGGTTTCTTATTAAGAAATCGTTGAAATGTATTCCCTATTCAGGGTTCTTTACTTCCTGATTCCTTACTAAGGATATCCTGTTCAGAATTTCCCAATACAAACTCTTCATTTAGGATTCCCGATTAGGATCTATCAGTGAGGACCCGCTATTAGTTATTCCTCAGTACGGATTTTTTTTACGACGAACCCGCAAGAAACGTGCCACATGCACGATAATCCATTAAGGGCTTCCCCATCAAATTTCCCCACAAACGAATCCTTTCCAAGGGTTGCTTACGAAGGGTTCCTTACAAGGGATCCGTTCGAAAGGGTTCCGTGCTAAGGATTTCTTACCAAGGAGACTCCTTCTTAAGGATTCGTCACCCAGGATTCCCGATTATGGATTCCTTGCCGAGGTTTCCCCATTAAGGGTTTCTGAGTAAAAGGGCTTCATCCGGATTCCTGAATGAGCCCTCCGTACGAATGGTTCGTGCCTAAGGATTCCCAAATGAAGATTTCCGATTCAGGATTCCTTAAATGAGAACCATGTTTACGGTATCCCAGTGTGTGGATGCTTTTTCGAAGGGTTCCTTACCAGAGGGCCTTTGCGAAGGGTTTTTAGTTAACGATTTCTCATCAAGAAATCTCATTGGGAAGAATTCCTTGTTAAAGGGTCTCCTATTAACGGTTCCTTATTGTGAATTAGTTTCGAAGGAGTCTTGTATCTGGTTCCCGATGTGAGGTCCGTCTGAGGATTCCTTTTCACGGGATCCTAAGTAAGCCTTCCTTGTCAAGGGCAACTGATTGGGAGTTCCTTCGTGAGGGTTCCTTGCCAAAGAATCATTGTGAAGGTTTCCTTGCCAAGGGTTCCTTTCGCAGGAGTCTTTGATGTGGGTTCTTTCAGATTCCTTACTCCGGGTTCCGGGTGGATTCTTTATTTGGGTTCCTTGCGAAGGGTTTCCTATTGATATTTTTTATTCAGGATTTCTTATTCAGTGTTCTGAATACGGATTCCTTGCGAAGTTTTTCCTAACGCATGCAAATGCGTTGCCCCCGAATGAACTCACATAAAACATATGAGCACTGATTTTCTTTCACGGATCTTCACGAGGGACCTCTTTCAACGATTTCTTAATAAGGTTCGTGTCGTTGCTAAGGGCTCATTGCGCAAGATAGCATACTAATGACCCCTTAGTCCATATACCATATAATATTTATAAGGAGGAATTCTTTCACAAGGCCTCCCTACTTGGGATCCCACCAAACAGTCCTTATTCGGGGTTCCTCACCAATGATTTCTGGCCAGGGGTTGCCCATTGGAAATTCTCATGAAAAGGGTTATGTGCCAAGGGGTACCTACCGCGGATTCCTGAATAAAGATTACCGTTTCAGGGTTCCTGGTTGAGGATTCCTCGTCTCCGTGTCCTTAAAAAATGTGCTGTCCAGGATTTTGGAATAACGTTATCTTTGGTTTAGACAGGCGAATTCGCTACCAAGGGTTCCTTGTTGAATATTCTTGATCAAGGATAGCATAATAGGGAAAACTTGGTCAAGAACTGAAGGTTCCCAACCCAGGAAGCCTTATTCAACGTTTCCCATCACGGGTTCCTTACTAAGGAGTCCCTACTACGGTTTGTATAATTCAGCAGTCCCGTATAAGAAATCTGGATTAAGGATTCCCCATCAAGGATTCCTTACGCTTGATGCCTTAGTACGGGTTCCCTAATCGGGATTCCCCACTAAAGGGTTCCTGACTACAAGTTCCGTGCTCAGGATTCCTTGATGGAGATGTCGTGTCGGACGTACGAGGCCAACACATCGACGCGCAAAAACAACAGCATCTGACGCGCAAGGCCAACACCATTACGCGCAAGGTAACAACGACGTTACAAACCGAAACGATCGGTTTTGCCCGTGAAGTTTTTCTTGCCTTGTGCGTTGCAGTCGCGGGCGGGAAGAGGACGAGGGCAGAACGAACTGGTAGACAGAGAGCAAATGACTCTACTCTTTGGTCAGTCCAGTCCACTCCAAAGCTCGTGATTTCAGTCTGCTGATCTGTTTGGAGTCTGCGCCGTCTGATATTTAGAACCGCCTTATGCACATGGCAGGGCCAGACAAGACCCCAGACATATGCACCGTCTTCAACCATTTTTCGTGTCATCCGACCTGCCCGCGCATTTCTGGCTACAAGCTTCATTTGGCGGTCGTATCGACTAGTGGGCTTCATCGAACGATCCTGGGAATTAATATAATATACTCTTGCAGCGCGTGCGCGCGTGTCCTGTGAACCCGTCTCCTTCTGCAACAACTCCAGCACCCTTTGACCTTCTGGCGAAATTCCGCACTTTGCGCGACGTCGCACCCGTTGAGAGGATCCTTAAGAATGCCCGCGTTCCAAACTGGAAGCATTACAAAATCATCGGATGCGCATCGCGGCACATCATCGCTGATATTTCATTACGAACCAGCGGAGGGCCCAAATGGCAACACAAAGATCAACGGCAGGGGTACTGCTGGAGCCATTGCTAAGACGGTGGAGTGCGGAGGCCCACATCTCGAACATATTTCATTCGATCTGTGCCACCAGATCGTTGCCCCCGAAGTGGTGCCTCCCGAGGCGTGGCTGAAATGTTAGATCGCCATTGTTTTGCGCGTCCGTTTGCGCGTCCGGAAAAGTCGCTGATGCTAAAATACGGCCCCGTGCTACTTGTTGCAACCACCATGTTTGATGATCGGCTATATCTTGAGCTGGATGCCCGGCAATGCGACAACCAAACGGACATCGATGTAGTTTTAGCACAGTTCACCATGTCTCGACAGTCGCAGGGTTGCTGGACCAGTGTGATGAGTTTCACCGATGGCAGCGCTAGACGTGCAAAAGGCCATTGATTCAATTGAGCATGGAAAGTCGCGGAAAGCATTGCAGCGGCTGGTTGTGCAAGATACTTCTGTGCGCCTCTTGTAGCATTCGTATTCTCGTCAAGCCGCTCGTGCGCGCACTGACGCGATGGACGAAACATCGGCTATTCGCAGCGGTGCTCGGCACGACGATTGCCCCATCTTGCTGTTGTTCAACGCGCCTGTAGAGAATGTCATGCAAGACGTTCAAGCGGAGTGGACGCGCGAGGGTTACTGCTTGAAATTTGGTCATGGACGAATGATCACGAAACTTCTTTTTGCTGATGACGTGCTGACAAAAGTAATATACTGTGTAAGTTGTATCTTGTGCGGAGGCGCAGAAACGATTCGCACACAGTTTTTTCCACGTGAATTTCGAGATCGTTTCATGTACAGTTGCGTGGGAATCTTCTTGGGCGTCTGAAATCTTTCCACATTGATGACAGTGATGCCGTAGTCGACCGCATAATTTTGATGGCATGGGAACAGGGTATCGCCCGCGGGGCAGAGTTCACCAGCAATCACTACTCTAAGAAGTCGCGGCCCCCGGCTCTTCGACAGGGCGGTCTCTTCAAATATGCTTTGCGGGTGCGAGACAGGAATCAACGACGACTGCTGCGAATGATTGCCCAGGCGCTGAGGCGGGAGCAAGCAGCAGACGAGTACCGTGGCATCAGGCGATCCGACCACATCAGGCAGGAAGTCTAGCAATGGAATCATCGACAGCACACGGGCTTCGTTGGAGCCTTGGATGGGTTGAGTGCCGAGGGTAATTCGCAACGTTGGCCCACGTTACGCCGATCTTCAGCATTCAAGATTTTGCAGAGACTGTAGACTTCGATGTGCTATGACCATGTTTGGCGTTGCAGTGGTTTCCGTCCGAGCCACGCCACCGACGACGTCAAGCCAGCCCGCACAACCGCTGGGTCGACGCAGCTGTGGCTTTCAGAGGCGTCCTTCGCGCCGCCCGCCAGCAGGCCGGACTGTGTCTGGTTGGCGCGCTGGCTGGGTCCACATTTCCCACAGAAAGAAAATGGCGATGGGCTCCACGCCCAACTCCCTGACCGCGTCACTCTCAGCCCTCTCTTGTCCTGCTGTGGGGTTGGTCTTGCAACAGACCCGCATCCCTTCAGCTACGGTCGTTCGTCGTCGTCCTCGATCCTCCTCCTCTTCCTTCTCGTTCTTCTTTTCCTCCTCCTCCTCGTCGATCTCTCATCCTAGATCCTCATCTTCAATCTTCCTCCTTGATCCTCTTTCTTCTTCTTCTTCTCGTTTCCTCCCTTCTCCCGCAAGGTGGCTGGTGGGCTCGCATCCGCAGCGCGGCGTCGGAACTTCGGCGGCGGCTGCAGCGGAGATCGGGCTGACCGAAACGCTGGCGGGGGCTGAGTTGAAGGGTGCTTGATGCTCTGCTAAGTGCTTGCTGATTTACTTTCACCGATGTGGTAGACCTGGTGAAGGAGGGTCGAAGGTCCAGAATCGGGGATCGAGGAGGAGGAGGTTTGAGGTTCGAGGTTGGTATACACAGGACTGTATTGTCGCTTCGCGCTATGCACCTTGGTTCTTTCAACTTCGGCTTGCGGGCGGAATGGGAGAGAGAGATAGAGAGAGAGAGAGAGACATATAGATAGAGAGAACGGCACATGCGTACACACAGAGATAACTCTGTTGCCGTTTTCGTCGTCGTCGTCGTCGTCGTCGTCGTCGTCTTCGTCATTGTCATCGACGTCGTCGTCGTCGTCGTCGTCGCCGTCGTCGTTACAAGGTGTTGTTCCTTCCCTTTCTCTCAGATTGCCTCTTCCTCGTTCTCGCCATACCTTGAGAGCCATTCCCCGTTCTCCTCAGTTTTTGTTGTGGAGGCTCCTCCTTGGAAAGCTTTTTGCGGGCCTCGCGACACCATTTTAAAGGGCTTCTTAAGGGCTTTGGAGGCCTCCTGGGTGCCTCGGGGGGACCTCTGGGGGCTTCCTCGGCCCATTTTGCCGCGAACCACGGTCTCCCTCAACGGCTGGGTCACGATGTGGAGTGCTTCGGGGGGGCGTCTTGGGGCCGTCTTAGGCCCTCACCAGGCTCTTCGGGCTATATTGGGGTCTGTTGGGCCTCATTGAAAACATTTGGAACATCAATGTTTTTTCCACGTGGAGTGCCTCTTGGGAGTGTTCTTTGGGCCGTCTTCGGGCCTCAGGAGCGTGTCTGGGGCCTCTTGGGGCCCTCGCGTGGCCGTTTGGTCGCCCTCCTGTCCGCTCTGGGTTCACCTCCATGCGCCAGCAGGAAGGTCCAGGAAGCCCAGGTGGCCGAGGGAACGCTCTGCATGAGGCGTCAAGAAGGGCCAACATTCGCGGGGGGGGGGGACCAGGGTCCGAGTGCGCTCACTCTAGGGTCCGTCTTGGTTCCCCAGCTGTATACAAATCTATGAATAAGAATAGCTTGTTGTGCGAATTTGGTGCTGTCAGACCCAGAGGTCTCCAGACGCTTCCACGGATTTCAACGGATCTCTGGAGGCCCATATTCCAGTATACTATTTTTGTGAACTCTGGCGCGTTTCTTGGAATTTGCCAGCAGCAACGGATCCACGATGAAGAGTTGCCTTTGGTGAAGATGTCGAGGCCTCTGGGATGCGCTGATTTACATGAGCCAATCCGTCGGAGGTTTGGGGGTCACTACTGCTACTCCTCTCCCTGCTTCAAATTTGTACTCCTGTCCTTGACCCCGTGTGCCATCACGTAAGTGTATCCTCCTTACTTGCCCGACGTCTGTTGCCATTCTCAGACCTTCGGCCGATTTGAACAATGCTTTGACTCATAGATGCTGGCCCTTGGGCCGTGCGCCCTCGAGCCGAATGGCGCCCCCCGCGCATGGTGTGCCGAATGCTCGCTCGGCTCGAGGGGGGCTTTGGGCCCTCGCGGCACGTCCGCGTCTTGCTTGGTCGGGCCAGCTGGGTCGTCGGGCGATCCAGTATCGTTATATTCTCTGTTCAAGCCATCGCGGCGCCGACGTCGCTTGGTCAGGGCCGAGGCTGCGCTGGACCTTCGGGGGCCCTCCGTGGCAGGCAGCAGCAGCGCTGACGACGGGCGGCAGCGCGGTAGCGGTGCAGCAGCTTCGCCGTGCAGCGGCGCCAGCACCGACGCTGAGCAGAACAGACGCTGAACAGCGGCGCCGACGCGGTGCAGCCCCGCGCAGAGCAGCAGCACCGACACTGGGCAGCATCACCAGGGAGGCGCAAATAGCACCGACGTTGCGCAGCAGCTCCGACGCGGAGCAGCAGCACCATCGCAGAGCAGCGCCCGCGCTGAGCTGCAGCACAGACGCATTGCGACATCACCGACGCTGGGCGGCAGCGCCGCGCCGACACAGTGCAGCTGTATCAATGCTACGCTGACCGGCAGCGGCAGCTTCATGCACAACAGTGCCACGTAAATAGCAGACCTACGTGCAGCAACACTGGCGCAACCAGCACGTGCAGCCACCCAACCAGCAGCCCCGCGCACAGCATGGGTGCGCGCGCAAACAGCTGCACCAACGCGACCCGCGGCGCCACGGTGAGGCCAGGTCAGGGGCCGCCTGTAGCGCATCCCCGAGCTAATCTCCGGCGTGCGAGAGGCGTGCGCCAGAATCGCGACCGGCGACGCCGCTGGCGGGTCCGGCGCCAACTGCAGCGCCCGAAGCTGCGCCGTCAGCCTTCGCGGGGCCAATTGCTGTGCCGCTCGCGGCTGCGCTGCCGCCGCCAGCGGAGCGACAGTGACCGGAGAGCCACGCTCAGCAGAGCCGACGCAACCAGCTGCGCCACAGGTGACCGCATGGCCGCCGTCTCCGACGGCTGGCCCGACGGCGGCGCCGTGAGGGCGGGGCCCCGTCTGCCCAACCAGGGCTCCGCCGCGAGGGCGGCTGCCCTGGACTCGGCTCCCGCCTTGCGGCGGCGGCCAGATGCCCCGCGCGCGGCGGCGCCAGCGTAGTCTGCAGCACCTCGACGACTGGCAGCGCCGCGACAGCGCCGGCAGCGGCGTGGCTAGCAGTCTGGCCAGCAGCGACCGCGGCAACCAGCGTCGCGACGCCGAGCAGCGCTGCGCTCGGCAGCCCCGCGCGCAGCAACGCAAGTGCGGCCGGCCAGCCGCGGCGCTGGGGCCGAGCCCGGGGCGGGCGTCGCTGGAGGAACTGCGCGAGAGCAACGGTGCCACCACTCAAGGCTGCGCCTGCGTGCGGGCTTGCAGACTGTGGGAGGAACTCGGGCGGGCAAGGCCGCCGCCCATGGGCGTGGAGGCAGAGGGCCCCGTGGGCAGCCTCATGGCAAATGCCCGGATCACAGCGGGCACCCCGCCAGGCCAGCAGCGCTTGATCTTCGCGGCCGGGCGGCCGATGACGGCCGCGCGCCCTTCGACGTCCAAAATTTGTCGACCGCGCACTTCGGGCGGCGCCTGCGCGAAGGGTGACGGGCCTAGGTCGAAGCTGGGCGGGCAGGTCTAGGCCAGGGGCGTCGAGGCCGCCTTGGCGAGCGATATCGCCCGCCGCGGCGAGTTGCCAGCGGGTGGCGCCCGCGAACCTCGGGGTCGCGCTGGGCGACTGGCTCGGCGTGGACAGCGGCGCGAAGGTGATCGGTCAAGGCTGCGCGGGCGGGCTCGAGATTTGCGCATGGAACGCCCGGCGGGCGCGTTCAAGAACCCGCTTGTTTACGCGGGCGCCCGCGACGTGGCGGGGCGCGACGCTGGGCAGGCAGCAGGGGGCCCTCGCGCAGTGGGCGGCGCTGGGGCGGGCGCGGCGATCCCAATGATCCAGCCTATGCTGGACATGCCGGCCATCAGAGGCGACGCGCGCGCCTTTCTGGAGATTGATTGCGGGCCGCGAGATCGACGGCGCCGTTGTTTGGATGGGGTCGGCGACAGGCAATCGGTTTTCGTCGTTGGCGGAGGGCGCAGAGACCGCCGGGGCACCGGGCCGCTCACCGCGGAAAGCCAGACAGCGCAGAGATCGCCGCGGAAAGCCTGGGCAAGACCGTTGTCTCGAGGTGTCGGCGGTAGGCCCAGCTGTCGGAGAGGGCGCCCAGGGGCAGCAGGTGGCAGCGGAAGGGCGGCCGCGCGTCAGGCCGCACCGAGCAGACGTTGCACCTCAGGCTGCGCCTGCGCAGGGCGCAGCAGCGCCATCGCGCGGAGCGCGCCCCGCCGGGGCAGCGGCGCTGGCCCTTCGCCCGCGAGCAGCTTGAGGGCGGCCGCTCGCCGCCAGGTGCGACGTCAAGAACAGGTCGACGCCGGCCTTGGGGCTGCGCCTGCGCGGTGGGTGCAGCTCTTCCGAGGGCGCGTTGATGGGCTGGCCGTCGCATTGGCGTGGATGCCGTCGGCGCCTCAGACAGCGTCGCGGCGCCTCGACCAGCGGCTTCGCAGACAGATCGGCCGGCGACGGCCACGTCGATGGCCTCGCCGACGGCGTCGCCGACGCCCTCGCAAACTCAACTGGCAGCCCCGACGATGGATGGCCCCGCCGATAGCGGCGCCGCAACGTCGACGACGGCGCCAGCGCGGGCTCCCAGACGGCTGCGCCGCGGCGTCGCCGAGGCGTCGGGTCCTTTTGGAGGCCTCTTGGGAACCTCTTGGGGGCCTCTTGGGGCTTCTTGGTGGGCTCCGGGTGCCTCCTGGCAGCTTCTTGGGGCGAAAGGCTGGACTTTTCGGTTCGTGGTCCCCCTCTTGGGGCCGTCTTGGGGCCCTCTCGGGCCGTCTTGGGCGCCTCTTGGGCCGTCTTGGCGCCCTCTTGGGCTGTTTTGGGGGCCTCTTGGGAGCCTCTTGGGCCGTCTTGGGGCGGTCTTGGGGGCTTCTTGGAGCGTCTTCAACGCAGTGAAAGCCGAAAAGCCTTATACGCTAAAAATGCATGTTTTCCATAGGAAATCAATGATTTTCGCTTCCCGGGCCTCTTGGGACGCCTTTTGGGGGCCTCTTGGGGCTTCTTGGGGAGCTCTGGGGGCCTCCTTGGAGCGTCTTGGGGCGAAAGGCTAGACTTTTCGGTTCGTGGTCCCCCTTTTGGGGCCGTCTTGGCGCCCTCTTGGGCCGTCTTGAGCGCCTCTTGGGCCGTCTTGGGGCCCTCTTGGGCCGTTTTGGGGGCCTCTTGGGAGCCTCTTGGGCCGTCTTGGGGCGGGGTTGGGGGCCTCTTGGGCCGTCGTCAACGCCGTGAAATCCGCAAAGCGCACGGCACGGCCTGGCCTGTCCCGCGTAGATCTCGGAGAAACGGTGGACTGATGTAGAGCCCCCCCCCCACCTCTGCCCTGCAGCACCACCTCCACCTCCTGCTTACTCTCCCCTTGCTCCCCCGACAGCTCCCCCAGCGGACTCCTGGCCCCCGCGTGGCCACCCCCCTCCCGCCCCCAGGAGCGCGGGCGTCTCGTGGCCCTCGCGGCGCGCGGGGGCGCCGACCCCGTGGCGGAGGCCCGCGCCAAGGCGCCGACGTTTTGGGGCTGTCGCCCTTTTTTCGGTCGTCGTCGTCGTCGTTGTCGTCCTTGTCGTCGTCGTCAGAGGAGGAGGAGGGGAGAGGGGGATGAGGAGGGGGGAGAAGGAGGAGGATGAGGTGGAGAAGGAGGTGGAGGAAGGACGAGGAGGACGAGAAGAAGGGGGGAGGATTGGGAGGAGGAGGAGGCGGAGGAGGAGGAGGTGGAGGAGGAGGAGGAGGAGATGGAGGAAGGGCGGATGAGGGGGGGATGCGGAGGACAGGAGGAGGAACAATTTTTCGTTCGACAGTCGTTGAGCGACTGTGACGCTGACTGTGCAAACGGTATGCCTCTGAGTAGTCTCACAAACAGTTCTCCAGGCTCCAGAAGTCGTATCCACCATTCCCGATCATCCTTCCGCGTGCCCATTTCGGCACACCCCTCACATGCTTCGTGGTCCCGTAGAGAACTCCACCGAAGGCCAAATTGGCAGGGTTCGCATGTCGGTACGCCCCCACACGGTTCGTGGGCCCATTGGGAGCTCCCCGGAAGATCCAAGCGGCAGGGCTCGTATGCGTGACCACGCCCATTCTGGCACCACTCACACGTTTCGTGGCCCCATGGGGTGCTTCACCGAAGGCCCACATGCCGGGGTTCTCATGGCGGCAGCGCGCCGATTTCGGCGCGTTCTTGGCACATTTCGCTGCTCTCAACCGCGCTGAGCCAGCTGGCCAGCCAGCCAGCCACCACCAGGTTGATTTCCTCTTGCGGCGCGCCACTTCCGGGGAGAGGGTCATACCTTGCGTTATTCGCAGCTGCATGTTGCTTGGTCCTTCGCCGCGCTGATACTTCATGCCGTGCGGCTTTCTGGTTTTGGTTATTATCGTCTTTATCTCTGCCTATGACCGATGTGTGACGATATGATGACGATTATGCTCAGACGGCTGTTTTATCCAAGAGGCTTACGCCATTCCGCCGCCCACGGGGGAGGCCTTTGGAGGCCTCTTGGGGACCCTCTAGGGGCCTCTGTTGGACCTCTTGGGGTCCTCTCCGAGCCTCTTGGAAGTTTCTTGGGCGCCTGCTGGCGGTCTCAGGGGTCCTCTTTTGGCGGAGGGCCAGAAATGTCAGTTCGAGTTGCCTCTCTTGGGCACCTCTTGGGCCCTGTTGGGGCTCTCTTGGGTCTTCTTGGGCGCCTCTTGGGCCGTCTTGGGACCCTCTTCGGCTCTCTTGGGGCCCTCTTGGGGGCTTCCGTGGCTCGTCTTGGAGCGATCTTGGGGGCATCTTGAGCCGTCCTGGACGCTGTCAAGATCAAACATGCGAATCTGTTCAAACATGCGTTTCCTCTATGGTTGTGGAAGATTCTTGCTTCCAGGGGCTCTCTCGGGGGTCGTCTTCTTGGGGCGTCTTTGAGGCCTCTTGGGCAGTCTTGAGGCCATATTGGTAGTCGGTGAACTCCTCGGCGTATTGGAGTCCAGCTTGAGAGAGCTTAGATGGCATCTTGGGCATCCTGGAGACCACCACGGACTCTAGATTCGGAGGCTCCAGAGGCCCTGGGGACGCGTTTATGAGCTCGAACTCCCCCCTGCTCTAATCGGATTTAAAACCCCAGGGGAGGGGGAAAGGGGGAGGGGGACAGCCAATCATATCACACGCATTTGCACCCCTGGCAAGCGGGGGTCGGCGGATAAGAATGATGCTTATCGTTATTCACAGGTGCAGATGCGAGCCCTTAAGGAGGGCGCTAGTTTTCGATGGGGCAGAGAGAAGGGGGCCGGTGCTAGCGTGCGTATGCGCATTGTTTGATCATGCTGATCGCTCTCCTGATACTGCGCCTCATCCTTCCTCGTCTCCTGGGAGCCCCTGCCATGTTCAGAAAACGAACCCAAAGCGGTTGCGGGGGCGGCTGAACGGCCACGCGAGAGCTCCAAGCGGCCCCAGACGCCCCCCAACCGCCCAAAGGCGAGCCAAATCAACTCCTCGAAGGCAGTTCCAACGCAACAGACTTTGTTTTCTCATGGTTTTTGTTTGATTGGTTGGCGCTCGGTTCTTCGGTCTTCCGGGCATCTGAGACCGCTCGAGGGGCCAGCAGAGCATCCAGAAAGTGCAATAGAGCCCCAAGACGGCCCAACAGGACCCCAAGATAGTGTGAGGATAGCCCCATCACGGCCCAAGATGGCCCAAGACGCCCCTCAAATTATTCCAAATCATGGCCCGGCCGTTGTGGAATACCGTGGTTGGCAGCAAGGTGGCCCCACGTAGCCCCCAGGGGCTTTCAACATTCCCCAAGAGACCCCCATGAAACTTTCGTGAGGGCCCCAAGAGACCCTCCAAGGAGGAACCTTTGAAAAGGGCGACAGTGAACGGTTCGCAGAGTAGGGCCAGACAGAGAGTGGGAATGACGAACATGAGCAAAGAGAGAAGGGAGAAATAATGGGAGCGACGAAGACGAAACCGGGAACAAGGATCTTTGTTTTCAATTCTCGCCACTGTCTTTCGCTTTTTCTTTATCCTGCCTGCACGCGAAACTTGAAGGGTCAAGGAGCATGGCGCCATCTCTTTGGAATTCGCAATTTCGGCGTCGGCAAGCCGTTTTCGCAATCTTCCTCATCCGTAGGTCGTTTTCGGCCCGAGCAATGAAAGATAGGGCCCGGCCGACATGTGTTTTTTTGTGGAAGGGATCCAGACTTCTGCCCTCGGATCGCTTAACCAATCCCTCGAGGGCTTGGGATCAAGGGTCAGCATGTTTGGACTTTCAGCTTGGTCAATTCAAGCTTCGCGCGGCCCGCTTAGCTTCGACCGGAAGAGGTGCGCTCTCGACCCGCGAATCAAGAAATGTTTGGATTTTCATCTCAGGAGGGGCACCTGGAGTCTTCCGGGGACCTTTCAGGGGCCACCAAGACCTCTGGAGACTCCTGGGGACCTTTGGGAGGGGGGGCCGGGGCAGGATGGCGGCCCACGCGGCCTGCCGCGGAGGTGCTTTGCAGATTCCTCCACGCCGAGTTTTTCAAGCTGCCCCTCCTGGGGTACAGCCGACCCTCATAGTGAGGATGAGCGACTTTCCAAGGATACCCCTGCATCCTTGCGTACTCGGTCCCTCCTTGGCCACTTTCGTCAGCCGCGCCCCGCTCGAGAAGCTTCGAAGTGGCCTTCCAAGGCCCTTGCATCCTTTTCGTGCGTCCTCATGGTACGGGTTGACTGTAGCCCTCGTCGATGTTCTTCGAGCCGCAGACACCACCACGAACGAGCTGGTGGTTCGAACCACGAGGAGTTTTGTTCAGGGAGGGGCCTCGGTTCTCAGACCCCCGACGTCGTTGCGTTTCTTTGTTTGTTAATTCGCAAAAGAAGGACAACAGAAGGATCCGATCCCTTTCGCGGGCACACTTTTTCATCACGAGTTGATTTTGACATTGTGACTTGGGGAGGTTCCCCGCAGGCCGAAAACGGCTAAGAACCTGCATTTTTTGACTTTCTCGCCGCGCAAGGGAGTCTTGGATGTTCCAGCCCGCTGGTGCTCCCAGCCCGCCGGTACTCCCGCCCGATTCGTGGCAATTCTTTCCTCTCGCCTGATTTCCTCGGCCCCCCTCCCCTCCCCTCCGCTCCTCCCGGGTGTCCTGCCTCGCCCCCGCTCTCCGTCTCCAGTTCAGTCATGTGCACAGGCAGCTTGTCTGGGCTTGGCCCGCGGCTGCGGTCGGCCGACCCCGCGGGCTCGCCCTCCCGCCGCGTGGGCGCCGTCCTCCGCTGTCGAAGGGACGCTGCCGTGCCTCATCCACGTACACATTGTTCATTTCTAACTCTTCGAAAGTTATCTGATTTTTTTGGGGGGCCAAGATCCTTTCATTTCTAACTGTTCTATCCTGGGCCTCTTCGTGGCCACTAGGGAGCCAGGAACAATTAGAAACGAGCACAATTAGAAAAGAGCACGATTAGAAATGAACGACGTATAGTCATGCACCACTTTCTGGAAACACAAGTGTTGGCGAGTGATCACGCCCAGCGTGCTAATTAGCATGCGTTGCCCTTGGCCGTTTCGCCATCTCCTGCTCTGTTCGGTTTGCCTCACCTCCTGTTTTGGCTTCTCCCATCGGCGTGATGAGACCCTGGGGCTTTTTCGTGTCATGCTCGACGCCGCGTCGGCTCCTGCTATGACTGTGCGGCCCGCTTTCCACTTAGCTTGTCATGGTGTGAGGCCTGGTTATGTACATGGTCAGTTGGACCGTGGGGGGTGCACACAATGCATTTACAGACGCCTTTCGGGCAAGATGTTGTCGTACAGTCTCTTTCGTGCTGCCGTACCTCCTCCTCCTCCTCCTCCTCCTCCTCCTCCTCCTCCCCCTCCCCCTCCTCCTTCTCCTCCCCCTCCTCCTCCTCCTCCTCCTCCTCCTCCTCCTTCTCCTTCCCCTTGTTCGTGTCCTCCTCCTTCTCCACCTTCCTCCCCCCCTCCGCCCGAGCCCCGAGCCCGGGGTCATTGCAGATTTTTTTTCAGATTTTGACCGCCATGGTATGGCCGCAGAGATTCTTCGCGATATCATTCCCCTCAGCTTTCCTCCTTCTCCTCCCTAGAGACTGCGCTGTAAAAAGATGCCAGCCCCCGCAAGGTCCAGGCTCTGACGGTGGAGGCAGGCTACTCTGGGCCCGCCTACAATGGGCCAGCCTCCGTGAACGACGCCTTCGTCAAGGGCCTGCTCGCCATGTTCAAGGACTCGGGAGTGAGCTGAGGGCTTTAGGAGGTTGGATCCATAGGAGCCAGCGTGGGGAACGTGGTCGGGAAAGGAAGTGTTTCGGGGAGGTGATTTGGGCAGGAACGGTCGGGAACGGTCGGGAGCGGAGGCGTTTGGGGTGGTGATCTGGTTGGGAACGACCGTGAGCAGTCGGAAACTGTCGGCAACGGCCAGGAATAAATAGCCGGGAATTGTCAGGAGCGGAGGTGTTTTGGAAGGCGATTTGGCCGGGAACGGGCGGGAGCAGCCCCCCCGGCGCTCCGCCGTCCCCCCGTCCCCCCCCCCTCCCTCCGCGTCCTTCCCGACTTCTCCGCTCCCCGCTCACGCCTCCTCCTCGGCGCATCCCTCGCCCCCGCTGCCCCATCATCCTCCACCCCGCTGCGCCGCTTTCATCCCCCCCCTCCTCGCCCCCCCCTCCTCCCCCCCCCCGCCTCCTCCCGCACCACCACGACTCTCCCACTTCACGCCTTATCCCGCTTCCCTTCCCAATCATCCCCCATGCTCGTCTGTCCACCGCGCCCTTGCCTCCTCCGCCTCCTCCTGAGGCCCTCCTCCTCCTCCTTCTCCTCCTCCTTCTCCTCCTCCTCCTCCTCCTCCCATATCGCGCCCTCCTCAGCCCGCGCGTGCGGGATCTCTGCAGGCGCGTTTTGATAGGGATTTCGAGGCGAGCCCAGCAGTTGCGATGAAAGCATTCCAGGCACGTGAGGGCCCATCAGACAACCCAAACATGTTGAGGCCCTTGAGGGCCCATCATGCCCCCCCGTGGGCACTTGATGCTCTTAAGGGTCCATGATGGCCCAATGTTGGGGGAGTGCTCTGAGCTCGCCCCAGCAACTCCCTCGGGCCCGCGGGCGCGACAGGCGTCGTCGTCGTCGTCGTCGTCGTCGTCGTCGATGGTCGTCGGCGTTAGTCGATCGGCGTCGTTGAGTCGTCGATGTCGTTGTCGTCCTCGTCGGGAGCCAGCTGTGGCAGGAGTACAGGATGAGGTGGCATGAGGAGAATGGCAGATTAATGGGGTGGGCTGGGAGGCCGATGCAGGCGGATGAGGGCGATTGTGGGACGTGACATGTCTGACGCTGAACCTTGGAGGACTTGGCTGTTGGTCTTTTGTAGAGGACTTTGTATGACCTGGTCGGAGGAGGGGTGTCGGGTTTCTTTGGGGAAGTGTTTCGTAAGGGCTCGCGGAGGGGGGGGGGTCTTTGGGGGTATGTGTTTGAGGTGATTCCGGGAGGTGCCCGCGAGGGTGTTGCGTGTGTGTGTGTGTGTGTGTGTGTGTGTGTGTGTGTGTGTGTGTGTGTGTGTGTGTATGTGTGTGTGTGGTCTTTCGGGGAGGTGTTTGGGGTGCTTCTGAGAGGTGGTTGCGAGGGTGCTTGCGTGTGGGAGGGGGGGGGTCTTCGGGGGAGCTCTTTTGGAGAGGCCTTAGAGGTATTTTCGGCATGTGTTCTTCATTGCGGGGGTTGGCATCAAGGAATCACATTGTCTGAGAGGTGTTTGGTTTTTCCCCAACCCTCCCTTGGTTGGGTTCTCGATTTAGATGGAGCAGTGGGGTGCCGACTCCCTTCTCCTTCTCCTGCTCCCCCCGCCCCCCCCGCTCTCCTCTCCCCTCGGCTCTCTCCTCTCGCATCTTTCCTGGGGGCTGCGAAGTGTGAAACTGTCGACACTTTCGAGGGCTGCTGGGGGGGCCAGCACAGTGGGATCCCACGCAGACCCAAATGGGACCTCGCCATCCCTGTGGGGCTCTGCGAAGTGTGAAGTTGTCGCCATTTTCGAGGGCTGCTGGAAGGGCCAGCACAGTGGGGCCGCCCACAGATCCCAAAAAGACCTCGCCATCCCTGGGGGGGGAGGCTGCGAAGTGTGAAGTTGTCGCCACTTTCGAGGGCTGGCCGCTCGCCTGCGCGCGTTTGGTGCTCGCACTAAGAGGTGCAGGGAGCAAGCGAAGATGCTGGCGGGCGAGCTGGGCCTTGACCGCTTCTTACAAAAGTACCGGGGACTGGGCTTTTAATTTTCCGAGGCGCTGCAGCAACGCGGAGCGGTGGTCGCGCAGGTGCTGAGCATCTCGGCAGGGAAGGATGCGGCACTTCATTGTCTCCTGACCTTTTGTATCTCTGTTCGGCGAGTCGTCCATGCACACTTCGCACGATATAGATATCAGCCGTGCGCCGTTTCTTGCAGTGGTGCTGCCGCACTATTGTCGCCACACCTTATATCATCCCTTGGTGCCGATGGGTTGGGTACGTCGCAGGGTGCTGGGGGGAGCCTAGTTCTGATGTTGGATCAGGGTTCAGCCCGGGAGTGGGCCATGCAACTTCCACGGTGCAGTCGCAGTATATCCTTGCCTCTGCCGTCGCCAGCACAGTGTCTTTAAGCGTTCGCGGCGCCGAACAAATAGCTCGGTTTCGGTGTCGGGCGCGAGAGCACTGGGCAGTGCGGAGGCCGAACACATACCTCTTGGGGCCCTCTTGGGCGCTGTTGGGGCCCTGTTGGGCGCTCTTGAGGACGTCTTGGGTTCCTCTTGGGCCCCTCCTGGGGGCTCTCTTGGTTCATCTTGGAGCTATCTTGAGGCCTGAAGAACCCATCGGAAGCGAAAAGGCGAGAAGACAACCAACTCTGACTTTCCGAAGGCTGTTGGCGGATTTTGGCCTCTCGGAGGGGTCCTTGGGGGTTCCGTGGCCACTTGGAACCGTCTTGAGGCGGTCTCGGGGCCTTTTGGAGGCATGTGGGGGGCGATCTAGAGCCATGTTGGGTTATCTTGTGCGATATCGGAGGCCATCTTGGGCTATATATATATATGTGTATATATATGTGTAGAGGGCACTCACCCGGAAAGCTCCTCGGCCCACCAGCTCCAGAGGCTCAGCCGCAACACCTGCGCACCACCACCACTACACCCGGCCAGGGCCAGCATGAACCCAGCCAGGAGGGTGTTTATGCCATGCCAGAGGCCCGGGGTGGGGATGGCCAGCTATGGTGGTGGTGTAGGACTTACGCGGTGCTTTCCTCGTGCGGCCTCCCCTCGGCTCCGCCCCCACTTCTCTTTTCCGAGGCGTCGGCCAGAAAACATACTGCCCCATCGCGAGCCTATGAGAAGAGCAGAAGGCGCTGACCATGAAGAGGAAAAGAAGGAGGAAGAAGGAGGAGGACGAGGAGGAGGAGGAGGAGGTGCAGAAGGGAGACGGAGGAGGGAGAACGAGGAGGGAGACGGAGGAGGAAGATGAGGAGGACCAGTGGGAACCCAAGATTCAACAACGATGCTGTAATAAACCCTCACTCCAAGCTCCCTCTTCATAGGACCCTGCAAGGGTTCATTTCCACTGAGGGAAGTGCCCTGTTGGGAGACAACCGTTTGAAGATGCTGAAGAGCACCAAAACACCATTCTCGGGACCCGAACGCCACGAACAAACATGTTTGTTTCGTCTTGACGATCCTGAATCGTGCCAGAACACTATTCTTGGGCCTTCAGCATAGCGAATCAACGTAACTGTTGCGCTCTGACAATCCCGAGTCGTTCCAAAACAGTTTCCGGTACGTTGGCCACGGGAGCCTTTAAAATTTGTATGATCTTTCAAGACGAATGTGCGCGGCGCCAAGTCGAGAGCCATATTTTGAAAACTTCCCGCCCTCAATGCGTAAAGCTCCAGCGAATTCTTGAGACGACTATGCGCGGTGCTCAGGCGAGAGCCACATCTTGGAAGCGACCCGCCCTCAATCCGTGAAGCTCTTGCAACTCATTAGGACGACCGTGCGCGGCGATACGGCGAGAACCACATTTTGAAAACGATCCGCCCTCAATCCGTCAAGCTCTTGCAACTTTTGTATGACGAGTGTGCGCGGCGCTACTGCGATAGTCACATTTTGAAGCCCCCCGCCCTCAATCCGCGAAGCTCTTTAAAATCTTCAAGACGAATGTGCACAGCGCCAATGCGACAGCCACATTTGTAAGCGACCCGCAGTCCATGAGTGAAACTGTTGCCAATGTTGAAGCTCCAGGATCAAAATTGGCAAGAAAGTCTCAAGCGAAACGCCCGACCCGCCCTTCCGACTGGCCTCGGGGTGCGACAGGAGTTGTTTCTCAGGAAAATGAACGGAGAAGGTCAGGGAGAGAGGAGGGGGAGGGAGCTGGCCAGGAGGAGAGACGAGGAGCCAGAGGAAGAGGAGGAGGAGGAGGAGGAGGAGGAGGAGGAGGAGGAGGAGAGGGAAGAGGAGGAGGAGGATGAGGAGGAGAGATGATGGTGATGATGGTGATGCTGCTGATGATGGTGATGATGATGGTAATGATGATGCTGCTGATGATGATGATGATGAGATGATGATGATAACGATGATGATGATAATGCTGATGCTGATGATGATGCTGATGCTGCTGATGCTGATGCTGATTTTGCGGCTGATGATGGTGATGAAATTGACGATAAGGACGATGATGATAACGATGGTTGTGATGATGATGATGATGATGATGATGATGATGATGATGATCATGATAATGATAATTATGATTATGATGATGATAATGATGATGCTGATGGTGATGGTGATGATGATGGTGATGCTGTTGATGACGATGCTGATGACGCTGATGATGTTGCTGATGATGCTGCTGATGCTGCTGATGATGATGACGATGGTGATGGTGATGATGGTTGTGATGATGATGCTGCTGATGATGGTGATGGTGAGGGTGATAGTGATGGTGATGGTGTTGGTGATGATGATGATGATGATGATGATGATGATGATGATGATGATGATGATGATGATGGTGGTGATGGTGATGATGATGATGCTACTGATGGTGGTGGTGATGATGATGCTGATTATGACGATGATGATGCTGATGATGACGATGCTGATGCTGATGCTGATGCTGATGATGATGGTGATGATGAAGATGAAGGTGATGATCATGCTGCTGATGATGCTGATGATGATTATGATCATGCTGATGCTGATTTTTATGCTGATGATGACGATGCTGATGATGATGCTGACGCTGATGCTGCTGATGATGATGATGCTGATGCTGATGCTGATACTGATGCTGATTATGGTGAAGCTGATGATGATGATGTTCGTGATGATGATGCTGATGCTGATGATGATGATGATGGTGGTGGTGGTGATCATTGATGATGATGATGAGGATCATGATCATGATGGTGATGATGATGATGGTGGTGGTGATCATTGATGATGATGAGGATGATGATGACGGTGATGCTGCTGCTGATGATGATGCTGATGCTGATGCTGATGCTGATGCTGATGCTTATGCTGATGCTGATGATGATGATGATGATGATGATGATGATGATGATGATGATGATGATGATGATGATGATGATGATGATGACGTGAGGAGGAGGATGAGGAGGAGGCTGACGATCTCTCCTCCGCGGTCCTCCCTTCTCGCCCCCCCCCTCCCCCCTTCTGCCTTCCTTCTCCCGAAAGATACCCCGTTTCGGGCCCGCGCGAGGAGCAGAAGAAGCTGCCCATGAAGTACGCGTACATGATGACCCTGGACGTGCTCGACATCCTGAAGGGCGAGAAGACGCTGCAGCGCGTGCCCGTGCCCGATGGCTCAAAGGCCTCGGTGCGCAGTAAACCGGAATCTGCGACAGCTTGCGAACCCTTCCCCTGCGTGTGCAGCCGACGCCGGGGTGTCGGACCCTCTCGCGGGGGTTCACCTGGCCGCAGGCATCCGTCAAATTCGGAGCTCCAGCCGGCTTCTCCGAAGTCTGACCTGCAGGGGTAGGGCTCATTTGTGTGGTTGCTGAGGGGAGGGGCGACAGGAGGACAAAGCTTCCACCGGCCACAGGGCGAAGACGTCGCATCATCAAGACACGCGACCCGCCGAAATTCTGCGATGCCGTCCCGCTTCCCAAAACATCTCGGGGTTCAAGTACCCGCGTTCTCACGCTCGGTTCCTTAGGGCCGCGCCGCGTCAACTCTTGAAGTGGGGAGCGGGGATGCTCTCGATTTTTGTGGTAATAAGCTGATGTCATGCTGCCTCGGTGCGATAGGATTGGACCGCTTGGGCTCCGTCCACTGGACCACTATTACGCGAGGGCAGATGGAGGGTTCGCGGGGGGGGGAGCGAGGGAAGTAGACGCCGTCATAGGCACAGGGAGAGCGCCCACCAGGAATCAGGCTCCGCACCCGTGCCTCTCGAGTCCTGCGCCCCCCGAGATTGCAGTGTCGAGGCTGGGTGTGCCTTCACGGCTGAGCCACGAGATGCCTTGTTGTGCAGACGCCTGCGCTCCGAGAAGGGGGTTACAGTCAAGCCGCTAAAATCATGAACAGTTTGGGTTCGGAAGGGCTCGATGTTCTCGAGGTACTGCCATGGCTGTTCCTAGCCCTCCTCGTGAACGAAGGCGGCTCGGGGGCCCTGTAAGGGGCTTCGTTTCTCATGTAGCGCCCCTTCTGTCAGGGGCCCGATAGTACTAGTATCAGTGCCGTCAAAAAACCACTCGGGCGGAGAAGCCGGCCCCCATGAGGGAGATCCCCCGGGGGCCCTCCGGCCCAATGCCGCCGTTCGGGCCGTAGACTCGGACCGAGGTATGAGATCGAGGTCGGCTCGGGGATGGTACCCTCGCGTTGTTCGTGTTTGTTGGCTGTTCTTGTGCATCCTGGGGAGGGTACCCTTGGATGTTCTGTGCGTTTTGGCCGACGGCCGACGGATGGTCGCATGTTCTTGGAGAATGTTCTTCTGGCTTAGGCTCGAATGTACGCATGCGCTTTCCGTTTGCTGTTCTGGCCAACATGGCTTCCAGGAGCCCCGGCAGGTGCCGCGAACACGCTTCCTTGATGGCCCAACGGCCCCCCGAGACGGCCCAATATTCATCACGATCTTCCAACATGACCTCCAAGATGGGTAAAGAGGGTTTTAAAACGGCTCCAGAAGTTTCCAGCGTGCCCGCGAGATGGCCATGGATGCTCTGAGCCTTGATTGCTTCCGAGAGTCCCACAATAATTGCAAACCGTTTGCGGTCGCGACATGGAGGGCTGTCTGGGGGCTCAAATCGGGCCCCAGACGCCTCGAAGATGACCCCAAGGTGGGCCAAAGGCGCGCCAGACTTAGGACAGCCTCCAGAAGCAGAAGACCGTACAGAGGCGATACCTTTTCCCGCCACCGCCAGTGGCCAGGTTCGCACCTGGTGGCCGCTTCGGGGGGCAATGCTGGGCCCATCTCCGCCGTTGCTACCGTGCGCACGTCGGTTCTGAGATCGCTTGCCATTTTTGTTTTCCTGGCCCACGCAGCGGCTCGGAGCGTCCAGCGCGAACCGTGTCACGGGCGCACTTGGTGTGTTCCGGCCAGCCCATTCAGAAACTATTCGTGGGCGAGTTGTTGCTCTCCTTGGGAGCCTCCGGGAACCTCTCGGGTGCACCTCGGGGCCATCTTGGCTTTTTGGGGGGCCCGCGCTGGGCCCTCTTTGGGGTTTCGCCCCAAAAAGGGGGGGGGCGCAATTGCGCCTCTCCCCTGGAGCCCGAAAGGTAGCCACATGGAGCCTGAAAAGTAGCCCCATGGAGCCCCGTGGACTTGGAGCCCCAGGGAACCCGAAGAGTAGCCCCACGGAGCCCCATGGAGCGACGGTAGCCCCTTGGAGCCCGTATCCCAGGGCGCGGTCTGCCGAGAAAGACTGCCAGCGGAAGCGCTGCGCTGGCAGCGTGCGCCGCTGTTGCCCGCACACGAGTGTGGCGGTGCTGGATGCAGCGGGTCCGCATCTGCCTTCTCTTTCGCAAGAGGGGGGTGGATGCTCCGTGAGTCATCGGAGCTTCGATTACCGCTGTGCCCACGCCGAACGAGCGCCCGCATTTCCGCCCCTCTTCGTTGGGAGAGCGTTCTCCGAAGCACTAGCGGAAAATGGCTTCACTTTGTTGGGAGAGCGTTCTCCTAAGCACTGGCGGCAAGTGGCCCTAGGCACGTCCGTGACAAATGGCAAATATTTCTGCTCCTAGGGTCCGCTAGGGGGGCAGGGTTTGTCCGCCCGAGGTGGGGCCAGCAGGTGTCAGCCAGTCTTATCAGGTTCGCTGGAGAGAAATGGCCAGTGGGGTGGATATCATGGCCGGGCCCATGATGTCTCCGCGGATCTCTTGGCCCCCCTCGCCTTCTTTCAATACCTCCCTTGGCCCCCCCCCTCGTCCGCGCACATGCCGTGAGCCATGTTTTGCGAACCCCCCTCTTGGACGCCCCCCTCGTGTTGGCCGCCCCCGATCCTTCGCATGTAGCCCTCTTTCCTGGTCCCTCCTCATCTCAGAAGCTCTAGGCCTCCTAGATGGGAGCGGAGTAGATGGGGTCGGAGGATCGTGCCACATCGCCGATGCATCGGCGATGCATCGCCGATGCGGCCCGATGTGGGGCCCACTTTTTCTCCACGCCGACGGAAAGTTGTATGCAAGAGGTGATCCACGGTGGCTTCAGCTACACATCACAAGAGTGGGCAGGCTGTACCAGATGAGGGGGAGGACTTCTTTGCTCTCTTCCTCCTCCTCCTCCTCCTCTTCCTCCTCCTCTTCCTCCTCTTCCTGTCGTTGCGTTTAATCTCTCGTGCCGCTTTGTTTCAGTGCACCTTGCAAGATTCTCACGCGGGCACGTGTGAGTTGACGGCCGCGGTCCGCTCCTCCGTCTCACGCTGTGGCGCAGCCTTGCTGTGGTGGTGTGCAGTCAATGAAGGTCGGGCGGCTCACTCACCATCGCTGTTGAAGGGGGAAAGCCAGAGGAGAGGGGTATAAGAGGGGAGGACGAGGATAAGGATGAGGGTGATAATGAATATGAGGACGATGATGATGCTGATGATGATGACGCTGATGATGATGATGATGATGATGATGATGATGATGCTGATGCAGATGATGCTGTTGATGATGATGATGGTAGTGATGATGATGGTGCTGATGATGACGATTATGATGATGCTGGTGGTAAGGGTGGCGATGCTGCTGCTGATGATGATGAGGATGCTGATGACGACTGTAATGATTATGATGCTGATGATGATGCTAATGATGATGATGATGATGATGATGATGATGATGATGATGATGATGATGATGATGATGATGATGATGATGCTGCTGATGATGATGATGATGAAGCTGATGATGATGCTGCTGATGATGATGATGATGATGATGGCGACGATGCTGATGCTGTTAATAATGATGAACATAATGATGCTGATGATGGTGGTGGTGGTGGAGGTAATGACGATCATGCTGATATTGACGATGTTGACGATGAGGATGATGATGATGATGGTGATGGTGATGAACAGGATGATGATGAAGACGAAAATTATGAGGATGATGCTGATGACGACGACGATGATGATGGTGATGATGTAGAAGAATATAATGATTATGATGATGCTGATGCTGGTGATGATGATGATGATGATGATGATGATGATGATGAGGATGATCATGATGATGGGTGGTGGTGGTGGTGGCGAGGACGATGCTGCTGATACTGATGATGATTATGACGATCAACATGGTGATGGTGATGGTGACGGTGATGGTGATGAAGATGAGGATGATGATGACGACGATGATGATACTGATGCTGATGCTGATGCGGATGATGATGTTGATGCTGCTGATGTTGATGCTTATGATGCTGATGACGATCGATGCTGATGATGGTGACGATGCTGCTGATGTTGATACTGATCATGGATAGTATGATGAGGACAATGATGATGATGATGATGAACATGATGATGCTGGTGATGGTGATGCTGCTGATGATGGTGATGGTGGTGGTGATGGTGATGATGATGACGACGATGATGCGGATGAGGTTGGCGATGGGGATGATGATGATGATGATGATGATGATGATGATGATGATGATGATGATGATCATGATGATGTCGACGATGTTAATGATGATGGCGATGCTGATATTGATGTCGATCATGAACAATGACGATGACGATTATGATGCTGCTGCTGATGATGATGATGATGATGATGATGATGATGATGATGATGATGGTGATGATGATGCTGATTATGGTGATGATGCTGATGATGATGATGATGAGGAGGAGGAGGAGGAGGAGGAGGAGGAAGAGGAGGAGAGGAGGAGAGGAGGAGACGAGGAGGAGGGGGGGGAAGAACAACTGGGGCAAGCTATTGCCGCTAGCCGCACTCTGTCACGGGCCTCTCGTGCTAACGTGGCCGAAATTTGTCCGCAGTGCAATGGCCTGAAGCAGGTGGTTAGCTGTCTATACAGTCAGCCCGCATAGTAAGGATGGGCAACCTTCCCAAGGGTACCCTTGCATCCTTGCCTCCTCGGTCCATGCTTCGCCACTTTCGTTGGCCGCGCCCCGCTCGCAAAGCTTCGGAATGGGTGCCCAAGGCCCTTGCATCCATACCGCGCATCCTTATGATACGGGTTGACTGTACAGGCTCACCAGTGCATGATTCATGCGGCACGCTGCCTTTCACCCAGGCACGACCAAAGTCAACAGGAGGAGGCGTTAGAGGGGGGCGGGGAGAGCAGGGGCCTGAAAGCGGGTAGCTATTCGCAGCTTTGATGAACGCTTCGCCTTTCCGTCTTCACGCCCGCACGCCACGCAGCCACGAGCGAGGGGAGAGGGTTCCCCAGGAGCTTGCCGCGGGGAGTCTTGCAATTGCCAGAGAGATTCTTCTTCAGTCCAAAGTGGAGGTTCGACCTCTAGCGTGGACGTCTTGCCGATTCGAGAGGAGCCGGAAGGAGAGGTGCGAGCGAGGGGGCTTTGCCTGTTCCAGGTTGGCCATCTCATCCCCCTTCGCTTTGGGCATGCCTAGTGATTCCGAGATGGAAGCTTGACTGGGCCTGTCATGGCATCGCGCCCGTTGAAGGAAAAAGCTTTGCAATAAGTGTTGATGAACCACTTCGCATGACCCCCCTCAACCCCCTAGCCTTAATGATGAACAAGCGTTCCCAGAGAAGCGGGGCCCGAAACACCTTGAACCCAGCATCTCGCACGCAATACGTGCCAATGTTCAGGACGCGGGTTGGGGGGAGGAATTTGGTTAATTCGGGCGCTGTTGTTGCAAAGGTTTTCCTTCAACCAGCTTCCTTTCGTGGGAATAGACATCCGCGGGTCGGCGGTGGAGTGCGCTGGCTGTCTCCCGGCTCCTGATGCCCGCCCCGCAAGATCACCGTGATCGGCGACATCCACGGGCAGCTATTTGACTTCGCCCACATGATGGAGACTACGCCGAAATCTCCACTCATTCGCGTCAGCTCTCTCTTCTCCACCAAGGGGAAGAGACTGATGGTGGTGACGTCGATGATGATGATGATGATGATGATGATGATGATGATGATGATGATGATGATGATGATGATGATGATGATGATGATGCAGATGCTGATGCTGATGCTGATGCTGATGCTGATGCTGATGCTGATGCTGATGATGATGATGATGATGCTGCTGCTGCTGCTGATGATGATGATGATGATGATGATGATGATGATGATGATGATGATGATGATGATGATGATGATGATGATGATGATGACGGGGAGGAGGAACAGGAGCAGGAGGAGGAGGCGGAGGAGGAGGAGTAAGTGGAGGAGGAGGAGGAGGAGGAGGAGGAGGAGGAGGAGGAGGAGGAGGAGGAGGGGGCGATGGAAGGTAAGGAGGAAGAGGAAGAGGATAGGGATAATCGGAACACGAGGAGGAGGCGGAGGAGGAGGAGGAGGAGGAAGAGGAGGAGGTGCCTTCAATCCCAGGGACGATGGAGATGGCTAATCCTTTTTCCACGATTGTTCACCGAGGGCCTCGATGTCCGCAAACATATGGCGATACCCTGCCGCACGAACGTGCGGCAACGACGCTTTATCGGAGTTGGCGCTGCCTATGCCCGTTTCCCCCGCTGGCTCCGTGCCGCTGTTAGTGCCCGGAGGGTCGAGAACCTCCGAGTTGGAGGTCCGGCCTCCATTCTGGAGGTCTTCTTCCACCTTCAGATTGCTAAGGCCTTACGGCCGGTGCCGCCGACCCTGGAGGCCTCGGCCCTCGATGGAAATGGAAGGGAGAGGGCGAGCCATGGGCCCCGGGAGGGTGGTATTCTGACCCGGGACCCCCCTATGGGACCCCCTTCCGGGATCCCCCCTTCGAGTAGACACCGACGTTGCTCAGATTGGCTTCCCCTCCGTGTCGCGGCCGCTCCCCTCCCCCTAAAGGAGCCGCCCGGGTGCCCCCCGCCCCCACCCCTGGGTATCCAGGTGTGACCCCTCCCCCCTCACACCCCCCTCGGGGGGAAGGGATAAAATGGAAGGGGCTTCCCTTCGAGTAAGCTACGACGTTGCTCAGATTGGCTTCCCCCCGGGGTCGCGGCCCCTCCACTCCGCGTCGCGGCCGCTCCCCTCCCCCGAAGGGAGCCGCCCAGGTGTCCCCTCCCCCCCCTTCCCGCGCATCCGGGTGTGACCCCTCCCCCCCCCCCTCGGGGGGAAGGGATAAAAGAGAAAGGGCTTCCCTTCGAGTAAGCTGCGACGTTGCTCAGATTGGCTTCCCCCCGTGTACGGGGGGGGGCGCAGATTGGCTTCCCCCTGGGTCGCGGCCGCTCCCCTCCGCGTCGCGGCCGCTCAACCTCCCCCGAAGGGAGCCGCCCGGGTGCCCGCCCACCCCCGCGAGTATCCGGGTGTGCCCCCCCGCCCCCCCCCCTTCGGGGGGAAGGGATAAAAGGGAAGGGGCTTCCCTTCGAGTGAGCTACGACGTTGCTCAGATTGGCTTCCCCCCCGTGTCCGGGGGGAGTAGATTGGCTTCCCCCCCCAGGTCGCGGTCGCTCCCCTCCGCGTCGCGGCCGCTCCCCTCCCCCGAAGGGAGCCGCTTGGGTGCCCCCCCCCTCCCCCCGCGTATCTGGGTGTGACCCTCCCCTCCCCTCTCGGGGGGAAGGGATAAAAGGGAAGGGGCTTCCCTTCGAGTAAGCTACGACGTTGCTCAGATTGGCTTCCCCCCCGTGTCCGGGGGGGAGCAGATTGGCTTCCCCCCGGGGTCGCGGCCCCTCCCTTCCGCGTCGCGGCCGCTCCCCTCCCCCGAAGGGAGCCGCCCGGGTGCACCCCCCCCCCCCCGCGTATCTGGGTGTGACCCTCCCATCCTCTTTCGGGGGGAAGGGATAAAAGGGAAGGGGCTTCCCTTCGAGTAAGCTGCGACGTTGCTCAGCGTGGCTTCCCCCCCGTGTCTGGGGGGGAGTAGATTGGCTTCCCCCCGGGTCGCGGCCGCTCGCCTCGCACGGGGAGAGTCGACCACTCCCCCTCTTGGAGCCGACGTGGCGGTGTGGTGCGCAGCTCCCCTCCCCCGAGGGGAGCCGACCACCCCTTTTGGAGCCGACGTGACGATCTCGTGGGCGACGACGACCCACGCAAGATGACGAGACCAGGGTACGTCTTCCACACGCCGACAGGGTCGGCGGATTTGAGTTTTCCTCTTTAGCGGAGGTTCGGCCCCCAGATCGACGTTTTCGATCCTCTGGGTACCGTCAGCCCCAGATCGGGTGCTGCTAGAAGTGATCCTGGCTCAAGAGGCCCCCAGCTTTCCGCGCCACTTCGGAGCCCCGTGCGGCCCTTTGGGCCTCGTAAGGGGTGCTCTGGAGGTCATCTGGGCCTCCCCGGAACCCCCGGGACACCTTTGGGCTAGGGACACCTTCGGCAGCTGGTCCCCAGCCTGGCCTCAAGCCCTCCGCGTCTCCAGGGCTGGGCTGGCGGCGGTTGCTCGGGCCCCAAAAGACATTGCTGGAGAGGCACCTCTGAGCATCGGCCACGGCTGATGGGGCCACGGAGGGCAGGAACGAGCGGGGCCACGACGGGTACCTGCGGGGCTACGGCGGGCAGGGGCCACGAAGGGCAGCAACGGGGCCACGAAGGGCACGAAAGAGCGAGCCACGGTTAGCATCAACGAAGGGCAGCGATGGGGCCCCACGGCGCCGTGGCAGCACAGGGCCAGAGAGGCACCTCTGAGCATCGGCCTCGGCTCGGCCACAGCTGCGCCGGCCAGAGGTCCTTGCACGCCACGGCGCTGCGGGGGGCCGCGCAGCCGCGCGGCGCCCGCGGGCAGGACTCCCACCGCAGCCGGGCCTCGAGCCGTCGGCAGCGGTCGGCGCGCTTGCTTGCCGCCCTGGCCCAGCTCGGGAGGACGGACCCGGCGCCGCGCAGAAGTCGGGGGGTGGGCGAGGCGTTCGGCATCTGCGGCGTGCACCTGGTTTAGGGGGCCACATGCGAACCCTACCCCTACCCCCCGCGATTTCTGAGGGGGAGGGTGGGGAGGGTGGGGCTCGGGAGCTCCCGAACGAAATCGTGGGGGGTAGGGGTGGGGTTCGCATGTGGCCTCCCATGGTTCCGGCCCCACCGCCCAGCGCGCTCCTCGGCACACACGTCACAGCTCGGAGCTCTGGCCGCTGGCCGCCGGGAGGGCCCTCGGGGCCATCGAGCTGCTGGCTCGAGGCCTGCAGCCTCCCGGTCGGCAGGCTTCTGGCAGCGCGCCCGGGCCCCCCGTGTCGTGGCTCTCTTCGGAGCGGGCCCCCCGTGTCGAAGTCCCGAGAGCCCTTCCCCGAGGCCACGTCTGCACATCCGAGGTGGTTCAGCTCACGACCCTGGGGCCCCGAGAGGGGTCTCCGGAGGCCGCAGATGGCATGGTACCCTGGCGGCCGAGAGCCCGAAGCAGAACACAGGTGCGTACACGGGAGACCACACGGGAGACCACACGGGAGACCACACGGGAGACCAGACGGGAGACCACGCGGGAAAAACCCTGCGGGAGACCGTCAAGTCACCGTCGCTGGGGTCGGCGACGGCCGCTCTCCCCCCCCAGAGCCCTTCTGAAGCTGTTTGGGGAAGGAAGACCTTCGCTTTGGCTTGTCAGGGCGCCAGAGGTGTGGGTGGGCCGCCCCCCCAGCCGGGGAGTCTCCCCCCCCCCCCAGACTCCGAGGCCAGCGATTCCTGCCGGGGCTGGGAGGCTCCCATCCCCGAGGGGGTGCCCGCGGATGGCCCGCTCAGAGTCCGGGTCCAGGTCCTGTATGGGCTGGCCCGCGAGCGTGCGCGGGCTCGCGTGCGGGCGCGTATGCGTGTGGCTTTCTCCTTGTCGGCCAGCACCCACTGGGCCGGTTCTTCTCAGCGGTTGGCCACGCTCGACCTCACTTCGGCTTTGCTCCCACATAGGGTGGTCAATCTGCTCTGAGCGTAGCCCAGGACTGGTTTTTCATCCTGGGTCGTTCTTGGACGGTCCCGAGGTTCGGCGAGGGCCCCCCCCGAGGCCGAAAACTGCCAAAAACCTTTGAGCGTAGCCCGCCACCGTGGTGCTTGAGGCGCCAACTGCAACTCGTCGGCACGCTGGAGGATCAGTGTACGTGTGCGCGTGGGCGTGCGCGTTCGCGTGGGCTCGCCCGCAGGAGAACGTGTGCGGGTTCCCAAGCCCCCAGAACCCACTCCTCTTCAACGGCGACTTTGTGGACCGGGGGCCATGGTCGGTCGAGGTCCTTCTGACCCTGTTCGCGATGAAGCTGCAGCACCCGACCTCCGTCCACTTCAACCGTGGCAACCATGAGAGCGAGATGACGAACTACCAGTACGGCTTCTCTGGTGAGGTCCAGGTGCGAGGGGATCCGTTCAGTGTTTCAGGGCCTATTTTCCAGGCCGCCCAAACGAGATCCGATTAGGTCGGCGATGCCGCTCGATTCGGGTACCGTCTTTTTTCCATCCCGACGTCGCCGATGCATCGCCGACGCATCGGCGATGTAGCGCCATCCTCTGGCCCCATCCACTCGGATCCCAGTCGGGGCGTCCTTCACACTCGCCCGCGCTGGCTCTCTGGTTTCGATATCAGGTTGGCTGTCACGCCCGGCTGCGTGTGACCAGGCCGTGCGAGTCCCTCTGCAGCCAGCTCGACTCCACCCAGAGTTCTCCTTTCTCCGCCCTTGCACCCATCTGCCAATGTATGCGCAGGCATTCGTTTCAGCTATCGTGCTTGCGTCCAGGTGAAGTACGAGCTAAAGATGATGGAGCTTTTCAGCGAGGCGGGCAGCCAGGGGAGGGGCTTCTCAGGTCTAGTGCAAGGTGGCCCCGCTATCAGCCGAGTGGGCCTACCCGCACGTTTGGCTCTCTGTCTGTCTGTCTGTCTGTCTGTCTTTCTGTCTGTCTGTGTGTCTGTCTGTCTGTCTGTCTGTCTGTCTGTCTGTCTGTCTGTCTGTCTGTCTGTCTGTCTGTCTGTGGCGGAACCCTATCCGACCCCGAAGTCAGCAGTCACTTCGGCTTCTTGATCAGTCGAGCTTTCCTCGCGGGCTCTTAGCCGTCCAGGCTTGTTATTTTCTTCGGAGGGTTGCCCCCCTTCTTCGGCACGACCGCAGCACGAGCTTTCCCACAGCACCTTGATCGAGGTCCCCGCGCGGTGCGAGCTGGTTCACTCTGAGTTTAAGAGCGAGGTCGTGGAGGCGTGTCTTGAGGCCACACAAGCAGCGTTCGCTGCACGCGATAGCTCTCCTGGCGTGCGTGCTATCGTGGACGACGAGTGCATCACCCAGTGGACTAAGCTGATGTTCGTGGATCACCTTCTGCTGGCAGGCGTCCGCGAGAAGGGGGAAAGCCAGGCCGAGTGTGTCTGCAGGCGGCTGCAGCTCGCTCGCGACGGTGATTGGGACGTCGTGTACACCGAGGCCTCGCAGCCACGACCTGTGACTGCCACATCTCAGGCCCAGGAGCTGTCCAAGCAGGCAGCTGTGCCACGCTGGGGAACAGGCGCGGGCCTTGAAGTGCTGCAAAGAGCGCCTTGATCCTGTCCGTGACCGGGCGCAGCTCGCTGCGGTGAAGCGCCTGTTCCCGCAGGCTGCATCCGGCGCAGGCTCCCCCAACCTTACATGCAGGGCTGACGACATGTGGTCCGAGGGCATGCGGCGGGAGCTCGGCGCGCGCATCGCCAGCCTGCTCCGGCGCCCGGCGCGCAGGCGGGCCTCCGGTCGCTTTGGAGGCCGAGTTGAGCATTTGCAAGTCTTGCGGAACATCTAGGGCGCCTTGGAGCAAATTGGCGAGCTCTTCGCTTTCCTTGCGCTTGGTTTGGTGCCGGACGTGGTGATGGACAATTTTGTCGTCGCTGAACTCATCCCCGCGAGGCAGCCTGGCAAGCCCAAGCTGCGCCCGCTGAACCTGCTCCCATACCCTCGGAGGGTTTCTATGTCCGCGGTGGTGAAGCAGGCGAAGGCACAGATCGTGGCTGCAGTGGGGCCAGATCAAGTGGCCATCGGCGTCCTGGACGGCTGCACGCGCATCTTCTGCGCCGCCTCAGCCCAGCTGCGGCTGGATCCGAGCCGCGTGCTCCTTGCTGAAGATTGCTCGAGCGCGCACCAGAGCCTCTGTCGGAAGTACGCGCTCGACCAGTACAGCACCCACGCACCCATGCAGTGCCAGCCTTTCGCAGCGTGGTGCGGACGGCCGACGACGTGTACATGGTACTTGCACGGTGGCCTCCGCGAAGAGATCACGAGTGAGCGTGGCTTCTGGCAGGGCGAGCCCCTGGCAAACGCTGGGTTCGCGGTGGCCATTGTCGAGCCGACCCGTGCCCTCAAGGCCGAAGCGGGGGGCGTGGACCCGAAGCTCAGTGTCTACCAAGATGCTGACGACCTCCAGCTGGTCACCTCCCGCGCCGCGCTCCCGGCGATCTCGCCTACGTTGCGGCGGTTGTGGGCGCCCAGCGGCCTCTCATTCAATGACGCAAAGCAGCAGACCTTCAGCCCTGACCCAGCCCCATTGCCAGATCCCTTCCAGCTATGTCGGGTGGCTTACTTGCGCTGCCTTGGACCCGGTCTCTCGGCAGACGACCCGACCACACCCGCCGCGGCCACCATTGGCGACCTCCCCTCCCGGTACAAGGAGCTCGAGTCGGCCAGGCAGAACGTGGCCCATGTGCACGGCCGCCTGCAGACGCTGCGTGAGCACGGTCTCCCACCCCAGACCGGCCAGAGCCTCTTTCGCACGATGGTCTGTTCGCATGCACAATACATCATAAGTGCGAAGTTTGTGCCTCCAGCCGTGACGAGCCTGTGGGACGATGCCCTTCGGGATCTGTGGGACAGCCTCATCGGCGTGACGCACACCGAGCAGGCCTGGCGGCAGGGAGCTTTCCCCCAGCGGGATGGCGGCACCCGCTTCGGGATGATTGGCAAAGTGGCGGCTCCGACAAATCTTGCCGCCCAATGCCGGGTCCATCCTTTCGTGGTCCGGCATTGCGGCCTCGATGGGGTCGACCAGTTACTAGCTGTCGACGGCACCTTCGCGCACGATATTGCCAGCGCGGTGCAATGCGTGCGGGACTTGGCGGGGCCAACGGCCTCCATCCCTTGGGCTCATGGCGTTCTTCCGGCAGTTCCTTTCCGCCAGAAGCGCCTCGCGCAGCTTATGCAGTGCGAGTTTGTCAAGCGCTTCAAGGCCGCGCTCTCCCCTCCGGCGGCCGCTGCCTTCTTGTCGGCCGGCGGACCAGGCGCGGGGAGGTTTTTTCTGGCCGCCCAGCAACCCCGACATCGCCATGGACGATGTCTCGTTCCGCATCGCCTACTGCCGCCGACTCGGCGGGGGCCTCTGGCCTCGCCAGGCGGACCAAGAGTGCTGCCATGTGGGCCAGGCGGGGCAGTGCACGCACCAGATTGACGTCGCGGGGCATCACGCCAGGGTCTGCCCAGTGGGTGGCTTCGTCATTAAGCGCCACGACCGGGTGCTGCGCTGGCTGGCCGCCTGGCTGAACCAGGGACGGACCCAGAGCACGGCACTCTGTGAGCAAATGTGTCCCGAGGAGACGGGCCGGCTCGACATCGCTTTCCACCGCGATGCCAAGCTGTGGTGGGTTGATGTCGAAGTGACGTCGGCCGTCAGCACCGCCGAGCGCGTCGACTGCATCCGAGCCCGGCAGGCCGGCGCCGCAGCGCGGGAAGGGGAGCATATGAAGCGGGCCCGCTACAACAACAGGGCCATTCTTTTCGTGCTGGAGGCGAACGAGCGGCCAGGTCAGAGCGCTCAGGCCTTCATCCGCCGCTTCGCGGTGGACGCCGCCTCGGGGTTCAGCAGGTCCGCCGCGGCCGCGTGGCGCGACTTGTCTTCTGTCCTTCAGGCTGGCAATGCGCAGCTGGAGCTGTCGGCGTATGGGGCGGCCGCGCTGGAGCAGCAACGCTGCGAACTGTTCATGCCGTGAGCTCCCCTCCCACCCTCCCCTCCCACCGTGAGCGACCCCAGTCCGACCATGAATGTTCGCTGAACGGGTTTTCCTCTGGTGCTCTCGTCGCGTTTCTGGCCGCCAACGAAACCGACCCCTTTCAGTCGAAAGGGGTCGGTTTTCGTCTTTGGAGTTTTTAGTGTAAGATGCCCGATCCATCCCTCCCCTCACGAATGTCGGCTCCCATGCCCGTGGTAGGCAGCTCGGCCGGAGATTTTGTCGAGGCGCTCAGCGCTCCGTTTTAAATGGTAAAGAATAGGGTGCGGGCGCGAGTGCGCGCTCTCGCTTCGGTGCCGTGGCATTTTGTCGCTATGGGAGTCGTCGCGTCGTGTTTTTGCACACGCAGGACGCATCGGCCATAAATGCCGCTTCATCCAAGAGGCGGCATTTTTAAATATTGCTTTCTGGGCACGCTCCGGCGGCCGATTTTTCAGGGTCGCCGCCGTCTTCTTCTTCCTCTTCTTCCTCTCCCCTCCGTCTCTCCCTCCCTCCCCTTGCGCGCCAGGCGCGTGCAAACCTGCAGGGCCGACACGCGCAGTTTCCTGAAGTCCCCGCGATCGCGCCGGTGCAATCCGGCCGGGGCCCCAGGTACAGCTGGGCCGTTTCATTGCTTGCGCTGGCTTGGACTCTGCGCGTCTGTCTGTCTGTCTGTCTGTCTGTCTGTCTGTCTGTCTGTCTGTCTGTCTGTCTGTCTGTCTGTCTGTCTGTCTGTCTGTCTGTGGCGGAACCCTATCCGACCCCGAAGTCAGCAGTCACTTCGGCTCTTGATCTGTCGAGCTTTCCTCGCGGGCTCTTAGCCGTCCAGGCTTGTTATTCTCTTCGGAGGGTTGCCCCCCTTCTTCGGCGCGACCGCAGCACCTGAGCAGGAACGTGTGGGGGAGGCACCGTCTGGAGGCGTGCCTGGGCATCGTAGGATGTGATCGGCGCGTGGGCCCCGAACACTGACACAGAGGAGACAGTGGGGGGCGCGGCCGGGCCATGGGGACCGGCCGCAGCGCAGGGGCGCGACGGGGCCGCGGCTGGGCCAAGGATCTCGGCGGCGGTGCGCGCGCGGAGGGCGCGGCGACAGCGCGGAGAAGAGGATTACCCTGACTGGGCTCCTTTCCCAGACCAAGTTCGCGGGCAGTTGCCGCGCTTTTCGTCCACCTGCAGAGTGCCCATTCTGGACCGTGAAGAGCGTGCTAGGCAACGCTCCTCGACTGCCTGCTCCCGTTCTTCGACATCGGAGGCGCCTGCAGCAGCCCGGGTACCCGGCGGCCTGGCAAATCAAAGAACAAGCGCAGCAGCAGCAGCAGCAGCAGCAGCGGCGGCGGCGGCGGCGGCGGCGGCGGCGGCAGCAGCAGCAGCAGCAGCAGTGGCGGCGGCGGCGGCGGCGGCGGCGGCGGCTGTGAGGGAGCGCCTGCCAGCGCCAGCAGCGGGCCACCGAGGATCTGACTGCGCGCTGCAATACCAGCGGATCGTCAATGCACGTACAGTGCATCGGTGGAACTCCCGGCGGGGCTCCATGCGACCCTTCGGGGCGGGGGCCTCGTCGGCGCGCAGGCGCGAGAGAGCGCTGGCCGCCGCGTGGGCCAGGGAACGACCGGCGCGGGCAACTGCTCGCAGCCTGCGCCAGGCTCGGCTCGAGCGGGGCCGCGCCCAATGCAAAACCCCCTCGTCTCTTTCTCGTCCCCAGCCTTGCGGGTCTTCCCGCGAGGGGGCGCAGCGTCGCCCGGCCCCCCTGGGGGTGCGGCTCCCAGGGTCGGGCGGACGGCGGCCGCCCTTGCTGGGGTATTCCGTCTGGGATCGTTGGCGCGCTCCCAGGATCGCCCTGGAACCGCGTCGACCAGTGGGCGCCCTCCCTCTGCGAAGGCGCTTGCCTCGTCCGTGGGCCCCCTCCGTTCCGCCTCGTGCGGGGGGGAGGTCCTGGACGGGGAAGGGCTGCCCTCGCGACGGGATGGGGCCTATCGGGGGAGGGTTGGATTTTGGGGCCGCGCATCTCATCCGCGGCTTGCTTGATCGTCGCGCGGTCGAGACAGCTGTGTCGTCGCGCGATCCGCGACCATTTCTGCTCCACCTCGATGCCGACCGCGCATGGCCACGGTCGAGGCAACGTCTGGCCTCGGGTGGTCCACCGCGACAGGCCTCGCCGTCCTCCGACGACGCTCGCAGTCCTCGCGATGGGTCTCGCGGGCCTTCGCCCTCGTCGGCGCCCGCGCGTTTGCGGTCGAGGGGCGGATCGCCAGCGTGCCGTCGCGGGCCCTCGCGGAGGGCGAGAAGGCAGGCGCGCTCGCGCTGCCAGGCTCGGCTCGGCAGGAGGGTGTCGAGGAGAACCGTGGGTTCAAGCTACTCGGGGCCTGCGCGGAGGCGTCGGCGAGGGTGACGAGAAAGGCCTTCGGGCTGACCTTCGAGCTGTAGTGCTGGGTCGCTTTGGGGCGCCACCTGAGGGGGATCAAGGACAGAGGTAGTCGTGTCCTCTGAAGAGAATGACCAGCTCTATCCAGAAGACGTGCGGGGAGCCCGAGGAGGGCCAGGTACCTACGAGATTTTACCTCGTGGCCAGCCAGACGTCCATCGAACGCATCAGCATCCTGGCAGAGGGTCTCGCGTCAGCCGACCCAGCCGAGGAAGACAGGATCCGCAGCGGTAGCAGGGCAGCTGCGAGCGTCAGCAGCGGTTGGGCTCCATGCGACCGTTCGGGGCGGGGGCCTCGTCGGCGCGCCGGCGAGAGGGCTGGCCGCCGCGCGGCCCATGGCGCGACGGGGGCGTGCAGCCGCCCTCCCACCCCGCGCTCCGCCGACCAGTGCACGCTTGGCGCAAGACCGAGAGGAGGACCAACGGCGCGCTGAGAATGGCGAGCGAGGGGACGCATGCAATGGCGGACGAGATCGAAGACTTGGCGAGCCCCCCCTGGCCGCGCGGAGGGGGGCGGCGCGGCCATGGCAGCGACGGAAGTAGCGCCAAGAGGAGGCTGCCCCCGTGGGAGTGCCCTCCTCATCTTCGCGGCGCCTGATGCCCTTAGGGCTCTGGCGCTCGGCCGTTTCAGGACAGTCCGCCACCTGCCCCGGGGTCTCCAGTTCCTGGGGGTGGTAGGATGTGGCAGGGGCCGCGGGCCAGGGCCCCGGAACCGCCACCCGAAAAAAGGGGTGTCACCGTCACCTCCCCCATGTTCTGCCATCGCACCGCTATTAGAGTTCATCGAGGATGCTGTTTCACATTGTTTTGACCGTTTGGACGGCATGTTGCTTCTAACTGAGCATTTTCCGGTGTTGCGTCAACGAATGGTACGACGTATTGCTTATTATAGAATGAGTGTTCAATGTGTGTGTGTGTGTTTGTTCGCGTTAATAATTAAAGCACGAACATGGTTAGCCATCATCGTTTGTACAAATGGGCTCAGTAATACGTGAACGAATGATCGGTGTATCTCAATGACGCAATCGTGCAGTTGAGGGTTCGTTGAGTTCAGAGTGCAGGAACAGGTTGTAATCACGTCATTTGGACCCACCATTCCGTGTTTGGGCGAGGGTCTGGCCGCACAGCGCCACGAAACCGTCAGAACGGTTCTGTTCGGGGCGAGGAGTCTCATTCCTTCCAGAGATCAGGTCCGCCGCCCATTGGGGTGAAGTCTGTCCGATCGCTGTCTCCGCGGCCCAGAGCTAGCCCGCCACTGAATGGCACCCCGATATCCGATATTCAGTTTCCGCGCGCGGGGGGATGGAAGGAGGCGGCGGAAGGGAGATATGGGGAGACAGGGAGGGAAGGAGGGATGGGTACCCCTTTCTGGGCGCTCGATTTGGCTTGCCCCTGTGGGTCCCTCGGGAGAGGTCTTCCGCCATCTGCCCCTGGCGACGGTGCTCGAGAACCAGATCTTCGTGGTGCACGCTGGCATCCCAGGGCCAGACCCTCGCCAGTGGGAGGACTTCTGCGAGCGGGACAAAGCTCCTCCCACCCTGCTTAGCATTCCGTGTCGGCTGCCAGCGGGGGAGCTTTTGTGGGAGGCTTCAGAGCGCTTGTCGGAAGCCGCGGCGGAGTTACCGCCATCAGTCTAAGTTGTGCTCGAGTTTGATCTGCTGCGACCCTGCGCCTAAATGCTGGCCTGTCCTCCAACTGACGCCTCCGACGGGCTGGCAGTCTGTCGTTCCCTGATGCCCCGACAGGGCCCCATCAACCGCCACAGAAGACATGGCCCCCAAATGCGCGAACGCTTGCGAGGTCGAACCTCCAGATTGGAGGGGAAGAACATCCAGAATGAAGGGAACAGAAACGCCTCAAGGATTGCGGTCCATCCTCAATCTTGAGCCTGGGGCGGCGAGTCTGGACAGGGCTGGCGCGGAGCCCGAGGCCGAGGGTGCCGGGCGGCCGGGGGGGGGGGCCGCGCCTCCCCCCCACCCCCCGCTGGGCTAGGAGGCCCTGCTTTCTCTCCAGGCGGCATCGGCTACGCGTAGGCGTGACCTTTCGCCGGATTGGCCTTCGGTGCGGGCCCACAGGGGTGGCCCCAGCACTGGCCCGCGCACTTGGAGTTGGGCCCTTCGCGGTCCCCTCGGCCCGCGCACCAAAGATCACTCTTGCCCGGAGTCACTCTTGCGTGTAGTCGAGGGGAGGGGCGGGCCCTGCTTCCTGGATCGTTCTGCGACGGCCCCGGAGCCCGAGAGCGGCCCCCCCGTGGGTGGGCCGTGGGCCGAGCAGGGCGAGACGCCCCTGGCCTAATTTTTTTCAGGACGCCAGGGGTCGGGGGTGGGCGGCGGTCGGGGCGCAGATCACGGGGGTCCGCCAGTCCCGGCTGGTCCCCTCAGGCTGGCCTGGGCGTGGGAGCCACGTGGGGGCGACCCTGCCTCTGGTGCTTCCACTGGCCGGGGCTTGGGAGCTGCTGGATGGCCAGCCGGGGCCCGCGACACGGCCTTGGCTGACCCATGCGAGGGCTGATTCCCAGCGGCGCGCCCCCCGAAACGAACGCCCAAAGGCCAGGACCCTCCAACCTCGAGGATCCAGGCGCCACGAAACCCGCTCGAAGTCGGTCCCCAGGTCACTCCACAGGTCTTTCACTGTCCAACTGAAGCGTTCCAAACAGGGCCCTGCCTTCGAGGATCGAAGGAGTTGTCATCTCTTGCTTGGCAGAAGTCGGCGGAAGGGCGGCGGAAGGTCGGCGGAAGTGAAACGAGGGCGGCTCCGCTGGCGGAAGCCCGCAGAAGGCTGGTGGAAGGTGGCGGAAGTAAAAGTCGACCTCCCAAGGGATGGCAACATTTGTGGGTTCAGGGTTTCCGAAGTCGGCCAGCTGCTCGAGCCACGTCCTGCTTCGGCCGCGAGAGCCCCCGTGGGCGTCTAGAAGCCTCCGAGACGAAGACGACGACGACGACGGCCTGAGACCCAGACATTCCGCGATGTGCTTCTCCAACGCCGACGCGCGGCCCCAGAGGCCCTGACCCCCTCTCCACGGGCCGTCCTTCTCCCCAGGCCCGTCTGTGATGGTCCCCGCGGCCAGGTGACGGGCCCCAAAGGCCGAAATCGAAGAAACTCGACGCGGCTGAACGAATCCTAGAACCCTCGTCAAAATTAACCTCAAGAATGTCTTACGTCGCTGAACTGCTTGTGGGGAGATACTGGTCAGAGTTGCGGTGACTGCGAGGTACTTGTATGCGCCGCCCCGCCAATGTCGGTCATCATCGAACTTCCGAGTTGTTCCCGGTCAGACCATTTTTGCCTTGGCCCCGACATTGGAGGGGCGTCCATCGACATTGAAGAGCGCGCCGACATCGCAGGGGCGTGGTCGCCATTTCTGGGGGCCGTCCTTCTCCCCAGGCCGGTTTGTGATGGCCAGAGGCCGAGATCGAAGACCCTCGACGGGGCCGAGCGCCTCCTGGCCTGGGATCCCCCGGGGGGCCGCGGGGCGCGAGGCGTCGTCGCCCGAGCCAGCCCGTGGCAGGGGCGGCCCGGGCGGCGCGGGGGCGGCGGCGGCCCCTCGCCAGGGCGTGCCCCGCGCCGGCCGCCGCGGGGCACGCCGGCCGGGCGCTGCCTCGCGGGGGCGCGGTGGCGGCGTTCCGAAGGGCCACCTTCCGAGGCGGGGATTTGCACATGACCTCCGCCTGGAGGGTCAGTTGTCGGAGCCTCGGCAGGCGGTGGGTATGGACATGTTCGGGCCCCCAGGGGCCGAAACATATCCATATCCACCGCCCGCTGGGGCACCAGGAAGTCGGTTCCCAAGCGGTGGATCTGGATAAATCCCCGCCTCGCACACCTCGTGTTTTCGTAGGTTCCTGGAGGTTCTCTGGCATCAATTGAATCGGGCCTGTCCCTCTACAGGGGGAATCTTCGAAAATGTAAAAAATGGTCAGGGGACGTTTTTTCCCAACTGGGTATTCGTTTTGAGTAGAGGGGTGTGGTCGCGTCCTTCTCCCGCCCCCCCTGTGGTCGCCGTCCCTGGGGGGCTGCGACCTGCGAAACTGTCGCCACTTTCGAGGGCTGCTGGTGGGCCCTGCGGAGTGAGACGCTGCGCGGATCTGAGCGGGTCCTCGCCGTGCCTGGGGGCTGCGATCTGCGAAACTGTCGCCACTTTCGAGGGCTGCTGGTTGGTCCTGCGGAGTGAGGCACCGCGCGGATCTGAGCGGGACCTCGCCGTCCCTGGGGGGTTGCGATCTGCGAAACTGTCGCCACTTTCGAGGGCTGCTGGTGGGTCCTGCGGAGTGAGGCACCGCGCGGATCTGAGGGACCTCGCCGTCCTGGGGGCTGCGATCTGCGAAACTGTCGCCACTTTCGAGGGCTGCTGGTGGGTCCTGCGGAGTGAGGCACCGCGCGGATCTGAGCGGGACCTCGCCGTCCCTGGGGGGCTGCGATCTGCGAAACTGTCGCCACTTTCGAGGGCTGCTGGTGGGTCCTGCGGAGTGAGGCACCGCGCGGGTCCCTGGGGGGCTGCGACTGCGAAACTGTCGCCACTTTCGAGGGTTGCTGGTGGGTCCTGCGGAGTGAGGCACCGCGCGGATCTGAGCGGGACCTCGCCGTCCCTGGGGGCTGCGATCTGCGAAACTGTCGCCACTTTCGAGGGCTGCTGGTGGGTCCTGCGAAGTGAGGCACGGCGCGGATCTGAGCGGGACCTCGCCGTGCCTGGGGGGCTGCGATCTGCGAAGCTGTCGCCACGTTCGAGGGCTGCTGGTGGTCCAGCGGAGTGAGGCACCGCGCAGGTCTGAGCGGGACCTTGCCGTCCCTGAGGGGCTGCGACCTGCGAAACTGTCGCCACTTTCGAGGGCTGCTCGCCACTTTCGAGGGCTGCTGGTGGGTCCTGCGGAGTGAGGCACCGCGCGGATCTGAGCGGGACCTCGCCGTGCCTGGGGGGCTGCGACCTGCGAAGCTGTCGCCACTTTCGAGGGCTGTTGGTGGGTCTTGAGGCACCGCGCAGATTTGAGCGGGACCTCGCCGTGCCTGGGGGGCTGCGATCTGCGAAGTTGTCGCCACTTTCGAGGGCTGCTCGCCACTTTCGAGGGCTGCTGGTGGGTCCAGCGGGGTGAGGCACCGTGCAGATCTGAGCGGGACCTCGCCGTGCCTGGGGGGCGGCGACCTGCGAAACTGTCGCCACTTCCGAGGGCTGCTTGGGGGGCCAGCACAGCGATCTGCGGAACTGTCGCCACCTTCGAAGGCTGCCGGCGTGTCCAGCGGAGTGAGGTACTGCGCAGATTCGAGCGGGACCTCGCCGTCCCTGAGGAGCTGCGATCTGCGAAACTGTCGCCACTTTCGAGGGCTGCTGGTGGTCCAGCGGTGTGAGGCACCGCGCAGATCTGAGCGGGACCTCGCCGTGCCTGGGGGGCTGCGACCTGCGAAAATGTCGCCACTTTCGAGGGCTGCTGGTGGGTCCTGCGGAGTGAGGCACCGCGCAGATCTGAGCGGGACCTCGCCGTGCCTGGGGGGCTGCGATCTGCGAAACTGTCGCAACTTTCGAGGAATGCTGGTTGGTCCTGCGAAGTGAGGCACCGCGCGGATCTGAGCGGGACCTCGCCGTCCTTGGGGGGTTTGCGATCTGCGAAACCGTCGCAACTTTCGAAGGCTGGTGGCGTGTTCAGCGGAGCGAGGCACCAGGCATATCTAAGCGAGCCATCGCAATCCTTGGGGGGCTTCGAGCCTCACGAATGCCGCTCGCAGAAGTATATGCGCCCATGTCACGTCATCACCTCTGTATAGCGTCTCCCAAGCTACTCCTGCCCCGCATTGCGCAGGGGTTGGGTACGTCGCCAGGATACTTGTTTACTATATTTGGGCATTTGTTGAACCTTTTTAGGGTATTTCCCAACCATCCTATGGTGTTGGGTCCTCGTTTTGAAGAGACGGTGCCCCGCGTTCTCCTCTTCTCTTTCTCGCCCTCCTCCTCCTTCCGCTCCTCCCCCTCCTTCTTCCTCCCTGCCTTTCACCTACCCAGTATAGCGTTTCGTGGCCCCATATGGAGCTCCACCGAAGCTCCCAGTGAGACCGCCCGCATGCGTCCCACACGCTTAATTCAATTTGGCATTCTCACCCACCCATTACAGCGTTTCGGGGCCCCATAATCCCAAAACGTTTGTACCGCAACTTATAAAACTTAGCGAACACAGTCGGCCACGTCTGTTTCAAACCACGCCCGTGGTTTAAACCAGCCGCCAACGACTGTTTTGAACCACGCGACGCAGCGGTAGTGATAAGGAAAAGGGATGAGAAGACGGCGACGACTGGACGTCGATCAATGAAATTGGAGGCGTTCCGACGTGAGAGACGGACGTAGAGGAGATAGAGTATGGAGGAGGAAATAGGAGGGGGAGGAGGAGGAGAAGGAGGAGGAGGAGGATGAGGAGGAGGATGAGGAGGAGGAAGAGGAGGAGGAGGATGATGAGGAGGAGGAGGATGATGATGAACAATTACATAGAGTAGTTATGGAGGAAGGAAGGGGGAGGACATGGGATG